AATTTTTTTTATTCTGAAAAATATATTTTTGGTATCACTGTGGTGGAGCAACAAAAAATATGCAAGACAATATTTTCTTGCTGTCTGCCTTCTGGGAGCCGGCTGGAAAGGGTTAAATGACAAGAGAAAGAAAACAAGTAGAAATATTCTAATGATTATCTTCTTCTATAAGATCATTAAGTGTTTATATTATATAAATTAATAATGAAAGAAAATGCTTTGATCTTTGTTTTCTTAGATTTCGTACAAAGATCATAATTTATCAAACGAAAATAGGTGTCAACTAAGAATAGAATAAATCTAAGAAAAATATTTACCGGCTTGGAAAATATTTATTGCTATTTAATAATGAAGCAGCACCATCTAATGTATGTCTTGTATAATCAATAGCTGGACACTAAAAGAATTTATTAATAAATGTTTTCAAAAAAAAAAAATCATATGAATAAATATTAGTTTTTTTTTTTTTGTTTTACTTCTTTCGGATTTTTATGTGCAGCGCATAAAAATATCCATTGTTCAGTTGCTGTCATTTGTGAACAAGTTTCAGGTAAACATTCTTTCTAGAAAAAAAGATTATTTATTAAAATTTAAATAATATTTTATTAAATAATTACTTGTAAAAGAACAGTTAAATCATTCAATTCAAGACAAAATTGTCTTAAATGTTCATATTTCCAAACACCTTCATCTTGTTGATCAGGTGCTTGAAGAATAAAATCAACATCAGATGAATTACGTCGAATCGATTGTTGAATATACTATAGAAACAAAAAATAAAGTTATCAATATTCAATTATGAGAATTTTATTTTATTTTTTTAAATAATTCATTACTTGTTGTATATGATAAAGTGAATCCATATTTTCAGATGTTTCTTCGGGCCAATGACACCAATCTTTTGCTTTAGTACCAGGCCGATTACGGCGTAATGGTAATTTAGTATTAATTTGTAGATCAGTCATATCTAAAATGTAAATAATAACTACTAAACAATTTACAAAGAGATCATGATTATTATGGTTGATGATATGGATATACAAAAACAATACAAATATATCGTATTCTTTTTCTATTAATCGAATTACTCATTCCTTTTTTTTTATCTGTATATAATGAGAAACCAATATGTATCGAAATGTAATTGAGATTATATGACTAATTGTAATTTGTCAATAACTTCATCAACAGATTTTACTACAATCCAATGATTTTCTAATTCTCGATTTATAAAACGTTCATTAAACATATTTTCAAATAATTGTAATAATGGATCATAAAATCCATCAATATTAATAATAAATATAGGTATATGAATTAATTCAAGACGTTTCCAAGTTATAGCTTCCATTAATTCTTCAACTGTTCCTGTACCACCAGGTAATGCAATAATACCATCAGAATTCATCATCATACCATGTTTACGTATATGCATTGTTTCAACTTCATGAACCTCTGTCAAATCAGGATGTAATACTTCACTTGTCATAAATGTCGGTATCCATCCAATAACTTTTCCTTGAGTCTGAAGTGCTCCATCAGCTAAAGCACCCATAACACCTTTTTGTGCTCCACCATAAACAACCGTTATATTCATTCGAGCAAGTGCTTCACCTAATTGTCGACCTGCATCCAAAAATTTCTTATCACATATATCACTCGATGCACAATATACACAAATACGTTTTGATGTCATCTCAAACGAAACAAACAAAAAAAGAAACATGAAAATAAATTTAATTTAGAAGTATTTTTTTCTCGTAAAACACCAAAGAAATAGATGTACAAAACTGTATATCTATTGATATATATATATATATATGTATTTAAAGATCAACACGTGATGCAAGAGGTATAGTTCGAAGTTCGTATTTTTTTGATAGATGTTCAGAAAGTATTGTCATAATAATAATGGAGAAAAATTGTGTAACATACCAAGAAAATATACGTGGACATTGAGAATTATAAATCCAACAAGCTATTAAATGATATATATGAATCGTTACCGAAAAATCTAAACATTGTTTATATCGACCAACGATATAAAGAATTGCTAAGGCACTAAATATAAAGAAAAAAAAAAGAAGCTGTTAGCACTATGTCTGCGAAATTAAAATGTGAAACACGATGTAGCTACTATTGTTAATCACAGCTAAAATTTGATTGGCCAACATTCAACCAATCAAATTAATTCTTAGCAAAAATTTCTAAAATCGATATTTTGAATCCAGTTTTCAGTTAATCTCAGATTTACTCAAGATCGGCAATGCTACCCTCTTCTCATTCAAAAGCAATAAGCATTTTCTTGAGATTTCGAATTTCAGTCAATCGACCCGGAATCATTACATAGCGTCAGATCATTTCGAATACGAAAAAAAAAATCTGACCATTTGACTCATCATTGTGAATTACTCGTGACTAGATACTTTTTCGGATAATCCCAGGTTACTTCGCTGAGGTCAACAGTCTCAAGAAAATCCTTATAACTCTTGCATGAAACAAGCTAATAATGTCGGTCTTGTGTCGAACTAAGGAGAACAATGTTTCCTATCTACTGGTCATATTAACAATTAAAGTTAATGGAAAAATGAGTCGAGAATATCATTTTCACAATGTCTACCAAGGAATAATCTGATTTGCATACTACAGGCTAATCAAATTTATACATCTGAACTTTCTCTTTTTAATGGTGAAAATCGAAGCTCCCAATTTTGTTCCTATCAAAAGTTATTCAAAAAATATTCCTGGTTCTTCTGTTTTTGAAATGGATAATGATTTCTATCGTATAACGAGACGTTATTGATATACGATATTTGATTGTTTATCAACAATGTTCATGTGTGTAAATTTCTATCCTATATACTTCAACACTCTTTTTAGATCGTGTTTCACAAAACAAAGATCGAAATTTCCTATGAAAATAAATTTTTCTTACTGACCTTGTTAAAGCATTTAGAAGAAACACACCAGTAAATAATCGACTACTCCAATTAGATATGTTAAAAATCTAATAATCAAATAATAATTATAGATATTTATTAAAAAACATTATTTTTCTTTTTACTTCATAAGAGAATAGATAATCAAGTGAAGGTGCTCGATCAACAGCGAATGTTATCAGTAGTACCCAAAATCCAAGTCCCAAATAATATAATGTTTGTACAGCAATAATCTGACTAATGATCAACAATGGATCCCACTTTTGATAACGAAAACCATTCATTCTGTTGATTAAATCTAATACAAAAGCATATCTAGAAAAAAAAACAAAACAAAATCTAGGCTTTTTTTTTCTTTTTATTCTTGTTATTAAAATCTTCTTATATAGTTTTTTTTTATCGGCATATTTTTAAATAGCTGAATAACAAAATGCTCGACAAGAACATATGAAAACAAAACGAACAATGATCGAAAATGTTTTCTATTTATTTCTTTTTGCCACGTCGTTGATGACCACTGGATTTCTTAGTTTTACCACCTAAAATTTTAGCAAAAAAACAAATTAATAAATATTAAAAGAATTAAAAAAAAAAGAGAATTTTACCTGGCATTATAACACCTTCATATGTTTGTTGAAACCATTTAATAGCTTCCTCTTTTGTGATTCTATGTGAAGCACCTATACGTGATTTCTTGTGTTTACGTTTGCCAATGTCGAAACCAGCTCGACCGAGAACAACGTAAAAGTCCATACCATAGATACCAATTGATGGATCATATTTGATACCTATAAAAGATTTTTATATTTGAACATATATCGGTGAAAAACAACACTCATAGCGATGAGAAAATCATTTTTAGACAAAATAAAACATTTGGTAGATATACTGAATATCGATCATTGAAGAAATCTCTTAATTCGAATGTATATTTTGAAAAAAAAAAAAAAGTCTTTTTTTATAATAATTTTCAGAATGGTTCAGGGATGGGCGAGTCAAGCCATTTTTCGAGTCGAGTCAAGTTCGAGTCATTTCGAAATGGTTTCGAGTCGAGTCAAGTCGAGTTAATTTTGTTATTTTTTTTCTTTTCTGTTTATCGGTCTAAAGAACACTAACAATGAGTTTTTCAGAAGATGATGTCTAGTTCTTAGTTTTTATGCAGAAAAAGAAGGGAATAATCCTACATAAGATAAAATGGTATAGCTACTATAGATTTATCAACAAAATCGAACATCAAGACGAAATCTTCTCTTAAATAGAATTCCACATCAAAATCACAAAAGCGTCAGTTTTTATGAGCAGAACATGAACTTAAAGCTGTTTAATAGCAAAATTTTACTATTTATATTTAAATTGTAGAAAAAATTTGTTGTGGTCGCAAAATTGTCTAACTGCGAAATGATCAACAAAAAACCTCAGTGTTTTATCGCCAATTCCACCGAAACATAAATTAATTAAAACGAAACAAGGTGTTCCAATAACTGAAACTCAACTTTTCTAATCTTATTCGATCTTGAATACGAGTGTAGCTTATAACAACTTTCTATACCAAGAGATACTGACAAGTCGAAACCGTAATTACCGCAAAAGCTAGTCGATCAATGTACTTACTACACAATACAAAAGAGAAGTTTTTCATTTGAACTTGTTCATCTCGAGATAGTGTTAAATTAGAGAATAAGTCATTTCTTGAACAAGATATGTCAGGTACTCTTGTGCAAAATACCTATACTACTTCATTCAACTAATCAGCGGAAAGTAAATTCTGTATTAGAAAACGGATAAATGGAATGTATTTTTATGTAATCGACGAAAAGTAAATCCTCAAAGGTGGAAATTTTATTATTTTATAAAAGCGATAATTAAAATTGGAAACAACCTACGAAGGCAAATCTACAGAAAATAAATCGTAGAAACCACTCGAAATACTTTTTCTATTTGTTAATTTTGTTTTCATTTATGGTAAATTTGCTGATCAAAACACTAATTTTTTGATAATCATGCCACAGTTAGACAGTTTTAGTGATTAAAGCTCAAGTTTTTGGTGTTTAAAAAGAAATGCTTACTCATATAGAAATGTCTTTTTTCGCTTCACAGATAATCCAAAACAAAACAGAAGGAGACAATACATATATATGCATCCTGTAATATGTGTAGACTAAGATTTACGATCAGATAAATAAGTGGAATAAAGCTTTTGAAGAGAACATTCTACTGCTATATATTTCATTAGAATGAAAATTGCGAATCAGAAAAAATTTAGTTCTATAAATTGTGATTTTTTTATAAAAGCAAATGAAAATTTTTTCGAGTGAATGACTCGAGTCAAGATCATCCGATTTCCGAGTCTGAGTCAGTAAAAAAATGTGACTCGGACTCGCCCATCCCTGGAATGGTTAAAATCAGTAAAATGAACGCGTTGACTCCAATTGTACTAGAGTGTTCTATTCTATGTCCTCTATCACAACAACTAGCATAATCGCTCCTGAATCATACAGCAAGGTTTTCAAAAAGGTGTTTTCGTCGAAGAATACTAAAGAAAAACGAAAATTTCTCGAAATTAGGGATTTTAATCTTTCGATAGTATGCTCGAGAGCATCAGTAACCAATCTCACTTATAGTTAGTCTATTAACGCTTTAGTACGTTGAATTTTCGGAAACAAATAATGATGAGAAATGATAGTAGCAATTCAGAATTATTTAACTAGGCGAGTAAGGAACTGTAGGTCTTCCCAGACTCGACCCACAAAAATGTGGATCCACAATTCCTCACAACTATTGCATAGAACATATTCTTGTTTGATCTCATTTATATAAATACAACTAAAACTATTTCACACAGCAGAAAATTTTAGTGTGACTGTTGATTTGATGAATTTTGTTTATTAATTAATTGTTTAATATCCTTTTTTTTATTAAACATAATGCTCTTGTCAATTAAGTATTGAATGATTGGAAAGCGAACAACCTCGTTTATCTCTAATCTACATTCTTCGGGTACATAAGTTCTGTAGACTTGAAGTGAACAGTCTATAGAGAAATCACAAGTCCCCCGAGTTCAAGTTTGAATAATAGACGAAGATTTTACTGTATTAAAAAACAAGATCAATGCTTGAAACGTTTTTTCTTCCGATAATATCCGAAAAAAATCCTTATTGATAATTTACTGTAAAAAAAGAAACAGAATAAAACTCACCTAAATCAATGTGTTCTTGTATACCAAAACCAAAATTTCCCATTTCACTAAAGTTGCCTTTATGTAATTCATATTCTTTAACTTTAAGACCTTTTTCTAGGATTTCTTTGGCTTTTTCACCACGTACAGTACAAAAGACACCAATTTTTTCATTACGACGAATACCAAATGAACGTACAGTATAACGAGCTTTTGAAAAAACTGGTGTTTGACCAGTTAATTGTTCAAGTACTTTTGATGCACGTGTTAAACGATCACCAGATTCACCAACACAAATATTTAAACATAATTTTCTTATACGTAAATCTCGCATAAAATTTTTTGATTTATCTTTTTTCAAAATTCGACCTGTTGTTGTACTCGTTTTCGTTGATGTTGTTGTTGTCGCTGGTGTTGCTTTTCGACCAGTCATTATGATCGTTTACCAAATGAACAAAAAAGAATATTTTCTATCTGTAAATAATAAACAATAGGTCAAAAAAGAAACACGAATTACATCGGATATAAGATTACATTGTGAAAAAGAAAAAGAAAAAGTAGCATAACTAGATTTTGTGATAAAAAGAAAATGCAATATACAAATCACCGATTAAAAAAAAAAAAAAAAAGGAATGATAGAATAATTTTTGTTTTGTTTTGCGAATAACTTATTATGATGACTAGAAGTATAGAAACACGAAAAAGAAAATCTATTGCTAATTACAATAATCAATGAAACTACATATTTAATGTTTTCTAATCATTTATTTGAAGACCTTGAAATTTTTCTAATTGCAATTGTTGACGAAGATAATCAAATGTTTTTTGAATTTGATTACGAATAAATTCATCATTTTCATTTGATGATATTTTTGACATTTCATTTTGAAGTTTTTCAATTAAAGAATTTAATACAGTTATATCAATCTAAATAAATAAAAATATGAAATATTATTTTTGTTTTTTTGAAAATTTTTTATCTTACATCAGGATGATTTTGATTAAAGAAATAAATATAAGTATTAAGTAGTTCATTATATAATTGAACTTGAACACTTTGATCCATTAATTGTGTTGTTAATTTTGTAGCCTTTTTTAAACATGCTAATACTTTTTCACTATCACGAACCTAAATATTCAATTTTAATGTAACAGAAAAAAAAGAAGTATTTTCAAAATGAGTTCACTTGTTTTATCTAAGCTTTTCTCGTATCCTGTCTGAGAAAAATTTCGAATCCGAACCCAGAGTGAAGTCCGAAAAAGTAGCGCTTTGGTATACATTTCTTACGAGGTCACATATGTAAGTGTAAAATCGCTTTTGAGTCGGGACTATATGCATCATGTAGGCGTTAGTGAGACTAGAGAAAGCCCAAAAGGATAAGGGCTGCTAGGCCTATCTTCCCGAGTTATGACCGTTTTATTGAATTTTTTACCCAAGGCAAGGTACTTCGAGGCAAATCAAAGGAAGGAATTTTGAGCAGAAATTTTGCCCATAAGTAGGCCTAATGATCCCTAGAATGTCCTGAAAGTTTGAGCCAACACGC